CTACATCTATTCTCTTCCAAAATGATATTGATCACGCTATTTCTAAGTAAATAATGCGTCTATTTCTACTTATTTTCTTTTTCTAACTCTACTTACCTTCTTTTCCTTTATCAGACATCTGTTCAAATTTCTCACATGCTTCGGTCTGCGCTTGTTCCGCCTTGATATAATACAAATACAAATTTAAAATATCACAAAATATTAAATATGCATTTTGTTCATTGTTTTAAAACTTTCAAGATGCAATTTTATATAATGTAATATTTAGCATATCCGTCAGCAAAACTCATAGTAACACATCTCTATTGTAAAAATATTATAGTCACATAATAAATGATATAAATTATTGTGATAATGTTCAAGTGCATGCAAATGTCAATCATGCATAATATTTGACAATAACTTCTGTGCTGCAGTAATTAATTTGTACTAATTTGTTTTTCTATTTAAACCAATTATTTCATGTCATTATTTCACGATTATTTCATGATCATTATATGTTTTACATATTAATTGCTGTCTGTATATGAAAAAAAGTAAAAATATATGGTTTTTAGATAGAGGAATTATGAAATCAATATTTTTCTAATTTTATTTTTAGTAATAAACTTATACTATATCATATATATAATATCATAAAGTTTAGTATTCCTTTAAAATGCTTTTATGTAAAATGACAAGTAAATCTCAATCGAATTATTTTTGGCATTCTGTATATCTAAAAATAAGGGTAGAAGGGGAGGAGCTGATTTAAACAGGATCTAATATTTAAGCACTACTGCAACAAAAAAATATATGACACAAACAATGACACACCTCAGCAACCTCCAGTGCCTTGAAAAGCAAGAAAATTAAAGTTCTGATTAGATGCTATTCATGGCCATCACTTGATTATAGTATCTAATAATTGCAGTTTCAGTTTAACTGCTGCAATATTAATAAGTATGATCTTAAAAACTAATATTTGTATTCATTATATTTTAGTTTTGTTTGCCCTATTCCTGTAAGCGATTATTTAAGAATTGTATGTGACAGTATCACACTATATTGCATGAATCATTTTGCAAATTATAAGAAAATGTGAACTTACTGCATGAACATCCTTATTTTTGGCACGAGCTTTTTCAAGAATACGATTCGCAGATTCATATTCGTGTAAAGCTTTCAATCTTCTAAAAAGAAGCCTTTTAGCTGCAGCTGTATCTCTCATATAATAACGAAGAGTGTCTGATAATTTTAAATCTTCATCTGATGCTACACGTCCTTCAACTTTCTGCAAAAAAGAAAAAAAGTATTTAAATAAATAATGATAGCGGATTTAAAATTGAATAGAAATTTTAACTGCATTCTATAAAATATTCTTACTCGTAATTTCTCGAAAGTCTCAGCAATTTTAGTTAAAAATCTTTCGAGTTTTCCAGTATCTGTTGTAGCTAACTGTAAAAGATTAGTGGAAATCTTTATATATGAATCTGCTACATCTTTATGTTTAGCTGTTTGACGGTCAGATAACCTTGTGGCTTCTTTTAGGTTATGGTGGTAAGTTTGAAGGAATGTCATTTCTTGATCAAAGAAATCATTTACATCTTTCACTGTAGCCGATAAATAATATTCATCGGTAGTTTTGGAAAACGACTTTACTAGACCACCAAACATTTCCATTTTATTCTTTCCTGCAAAAATAAACAGAATATATTTTAGATATATTTTCTATATCTATTTCCATTTTGTGTTTGCATTTTAACATTGTTCAATGTATCAAGAATATTACCTCGTACGCAAAGATCTTGATCATATTCTAAGAATACCCTTAGATTATGATCATTCCGAAAAACTGGATGATGCGCCAATCTGGTCAAAAACATTTCGTGCATAGCAACAGTTTTTTTAAAAGTGGCTAAGTATTCCCTGCAAATAAATATATTAAGATTAGATTTTATTAGATCTTTACAGTCAAAATGTAATAATAAATATAGGATAAATCCATATATACAAAAAACTTACGCTTCCAATTCTTGCTTCATCTTATTAAACTCTTCGCGTGTCATATTTCCCTCACCTTCGCCAAGTTTTTGTAATTTCTCGCGCGATGCATCAAAGTCTGGTCTTGGTGGACATGGTGGAATCTATGATAATAACATCACAATATTAATATTAAAAAGTAAAACGCGAGAGTTAAATATATGATTAAAGACAAAGATTTCACATACAATGTAACCAGCATACTCTTCATTTTCCTCGAATCGATCATGGAGCCATACAAATTCTTCATGTTGCCTCACAACTAGATTGTCCGGTTTTTGAAATTCAGGTAAAGTAGTTTTCGTATGTACAGTAAACTTTACTTTATCCTTTTCACTGAGAGCATCCGAAATGTCCACTTGCAAGGACTTATCCGAGAGATCTATGGTATCAGCATGGATTGTCTAAAAGAAAAGATTAGAATAAAATTGTCGTTGGACAACGCGAAAACAAAAAGTCAGGCGCGTTATGATAATTATGATAAATATATATTATATCAATCAGGTAAATATAAGCTTGCGCAAGAGAAAGAAAGATAGAGAAACAACATCATAAATACCTTCTTCGGAGGCACACTGTTTAAGATGTCGGCAGTGTCACATATACCATCCTGCAACATTTTTCGCATAGATTAGAGACTGCAAGACGGGAGTGTTCGCGCGAAGGGGAGCGGACTTCGCGAAAGAATTGCGCCGATCGAACGCGTCAAGCGAACGGATCGCCGGCCACCGATTGATAACAGGTTCCACCTACCATCATGGCGTCCACTGGCGTCGTCTCCTCGCCACACCGTGTTTGACAGCAGTCCGATTAATAGGACCGTCACACCGAATAATATACACGTATCACTGTCGTATGGCAAGAGCAAACTGATGATCTCGAGTCTCAGATCTCAGACACGCTACGCGCGAACCCGTTGCCGGGGCCGACTGATGATGGCAGGATGGCACTTCCGTTGGTAAAGGAGAGCCGAGATACAACCACGGCATATCTCCGAGATGCAGCGCGACAATCGACTCGACCGGACTCGAATGCGATTCGATTCATCTGGCCGTGACGCGACACGCATAGGGTGCGTTCCGTTTCACGCATTGAGCGCATAAATCGCCTGGAAATCTATAGTTCACGTAACATATATTATAGATTTCCAGGCGATCTATGCACTCAATGCGTGAAACGGAACGCAGCCATAGACAAATCAGCTGTAGAGAAAAGTGCACACATCACGATGTATTCGTGTCGCGCGCGCGATATTTGAAATGACTTTAAATGTATCTACTTTATTCGAAGCATAGTATAAACGTAAAAATTGAAGTTATATATTAACATAGCATTAAATTTGTACGCAAGTTGTTAAAATTTCTGTGTTAAATTTGCATTTAACAATATGTACAAAACAATTTTTTTTATAAATTTCTGTCGTCATTTAAATAAAAATACCATTATGAAATATGTAACTTAAGTATAGTATAATATTAAATGTGATTTATATTCATTTTTTATTTTAATGAAAACTTGCAGTCTTGTCTCTTTTGCAGGACAATTGTGCTTGTTAATATATATATTTATTCATATAACACAATCCTGAAAGATTTAAAAAGTTTAAATAGTAAAAATGTATTTTTGATTTGCTTATATTACTAATAATGCCTTTATTTTCAGAAAAGTACCATAAATAATGATACCAATTGTTATAACATATGCAATCAGATTTTATGTAACTATTATATAGAATATAAATCTGTAATTGAATATAGGCCTCCTAATGGCATTGATTAATATATGTTTTATAATCGTCATCTTATACATCAACATTATATGATGTATCTTAGGATCAAGACCGATAAGTAATGTGCACATATATATTTTCCAATTAAAAAGATATGCCCAAAGCATACATACAAAATACAGCTGTCAATTAATGTTGACAGTGTAGAATTATCGCTAGATTATAATAAATTAAATGTATCGAACATAATTTCTTGAAGCCAATGTACATCATTTAATCATTACAGTGTACAAGCGCAAAAGAGGGATACAATGCTGACATTCTTTGGTATAACAATTAGATATAAGCTTGTAATTTGAGATATAAATAACATTTGATTACAGTAATATTTGAGGAACCAATTTTGTACTAATTAGATATAGTATATTCATGCTTATAGATGCGTTTCCTCGTAATTTCATTAAGAAATATTAATCTTAATGTATAATTTACTTGCCACCTGACAAATCTTTTAATAACGTGCACTACTAGAGCTTATCTCTTATTCATCATATACTTGAATATTTTTCGTGTCTCATGTCTCTTCAGATTCTGAAATATTCATAATAAATCTTGAAACAAAGGCAGGAACATTTGTTAAAATGGAATTATTTGTGGGCCTTGATGAAATATAGGTAAAATTATATCACTGCTATACTCATATCGGTATCTTTATCTATGGCTTTAATTATGGCTTTTGTATTATGCTGTTATGAATCAAACATGCATCCATTTTATAATTTACATAAATATAAAAATATATTCTTTAATATTATTAAATAATAATAAATTTAAATGTTAGTACAAATAATATGATAAGAATATAAAATTTTATAAAAAGTAATTAGAATGCAAAGTAATTAGAATTAGACATTAGTGTAATTAATTAGACATTAATATTGTCATACCTCATTATTGATGTCAAAGACTCCCTCCTGTATCTTTTCATATATTTCTTTTGCAGTATTGATGAATGCTTCTTCTACATTGGCTGCAGTCTTAGCACTAGTCTCCATAAAGACAAGACCATGCTCTCGTGCAAAAGCTTCGCCTTCTTCTCTCCTTACTTCTCTTCGACTATCCAAATCACTTTTGTTTCCAATTAACATGATAACCATATTGGAATTTGAGTGTTGCCTTGCATCTTCCAACCATGTTGTAAGATGATTGAAGGTTTCCCTACGTGTAATGTCATATACCAATAGAGCTCCAGCTGCTCCACGATAATATGACCTTGTTATAGAACGGAATGCCTCTTGGCCTGCCTATATAAAGCGTGAATCATAAAAATAATTAACATTTAATATCTACTACCTAAATAGTAACATATATATGTATATATATTCTTTTTTTCCTAATTTTATGTATATATCTTGGTAACGTTAAAATAAAAAAAATATAAGATTTCATAAAGAATGATTAAAAATATTTTCTTCAATAAGAATTAAAATTTATACAAATTTCTTTATATGAACAATAATATGTGTGTGTATATTAATGTAGATATTAATTATTAACATATCTCTTGCAAATTATAAACTTCTGCCTAATAAACATTAGTAATATAAAATATGACAATATGTATAGAATTATTAAAAATAATTACAGTATCCCAAATCTGCAATTTAATTTGCTTGCTATCAATGGTAATCATACGTGCACCAAACTCGACACCTATTGTCAAGTCATGGACTGGCTGAAATCTCTTATCCGTAAATTGAAGAAGGAGACAGGACTTTCCAACTCCTATATAAAAATATCATGGTTTTTAAATCACAATCTTTGATTGTAAAATCCTAGTAAAAAATACTCTTATTATTCTATTGAACATATATAGATGTATACAAACTAAAAAACTGTTTGATACTTGTCTTATTTTAATATCTATTTAATATTAAGTTCTTATGTAATATATTTACAATATTACATTTATTTAATTTAATTTTTCATGTATTGTTTAATATAATAATCACGTGCATGCAATAAATCCATCAATAGTATTAGAAAATAAAATTATAGAAATATTTGCATTTATAATAATAAACATATGTACAAAATGTACATGTGTATCTAATTGTAGTATGAATAATTCTGTTATAAAATACAAGCTATTTTTACAGCTGTCATCATTGAAATTAGCAAAACGATTTGTCAAGTCTTATAAAACTCAAATGACGCGCAATAACAACAAACCAAACTACAATGCACAAAACATATATAAAATTTATCGAAAAATACACGCGACGTACATATTTAAAGGGAACAAATGCGCTTTTAAGATAAGAGAATTTCCTCATCAGTAGCAGTTTCCAAAAGAAAAAAAAAAACTGGATTTACTCTCGCATTTGCAAATCAGCGATATCGCACGCCACGCGAGAACGAAAACAAAGGGGGCCCTGTCAAAGATGACGTAGAAAGCCACGGGACGAAGGTCCCGTTTCGTGGAGGTGTCTCGTGCGTAACGTGCATCGTTTATTTACCTGTGTCTCCGATAATGATATACTTGAACAAATACGCGTACGACATTTTCGAAACTGATGAGACGCGCGAGTAATTGTAGCTCCACAATATACACCAGGAAACAGAATACCCTTCTTCTGACTGTCTTATCTCTTCTGCTCCAACATGACGTCACGGAGACACTTCGGCAGGCCTCGGCGCGGCTCGGATCGCCTTCGACTTTTCCGATATCCCATCATTGTCACTCGCGTGGACAATGGACACGTCGTCGCGATATCGCCCGTTGATTGGTTGCGCGTGGCAGAGAGTTGAGATATATATATATATATCGCTTTATATTTAGTTTTATATTTCATAAGAGTATTGTATATATATTTTTAATAAAAATATATAAGCACGAAATTTATATAATATATAGATTGAAAACTGCTTAGTAATTTCACGCATATGACATGCACATAAAATGAATTCATGAAAATCGGGCTTTAGAAGAAAGTGATCGCTGAGGTCAACCGTCTTGAGAGCGATTTAAAGTCAGCTGTTATCTGATAACGAACAGAATTCGTCTCTTCCGGTGTGTATATATAATAAAATTACATACATATTCTATAAAAATCATAATTGTATTTTTCGTGCAACGATCTACAGTTAGTGGAATCGCGATCAACGTCAATTTTGGGTTTCTATATTGGCGGCAGTGTTTCCTCCCTCTCCGCGCTACCGTTTAGCGCTCGCACGTTGCGTCGGTCGCGCAATTCGGAATTGTTGCAACAAATACGGCGTGTATAGTAACGGACATTTTTCACGTATCTCTTTAGAAAGGTCAGTGGAATTCTTATCGGCGGAATCGCGTGAGCATCGTTCGACGTGCGTCAATTCGCGAACACGCGCCAATCGCTGCCAATTTTCCGCTGTTTCGCTTGAAAATACCGACGACGCTGTGGAATAAATCAGCAAAGTGCCCGACTACGTAAAAGCGCGCAAATCCGAGCGAGAGAGAGGCCTCGACAAATTCAGGTAATGCGAAGTACTTAACGTCTTTCTCGAGACGGGGAAAAAAAATCGGCTCGTTCGGGAACGATAACGTTCGATGTCGTCGAACGTTAACCTATCTAACGCGCGCGAAGCGTTGCTTTATTTAACAAACGCCTCCTCGTCAGATTCAGTTAAAATTCTATTGTAGCTCAAGGCCGATTTTTTTTCTCGCTCGAGAAGCTACTTGTCAACATTGGCAGTCGTTAAGGGAGACAAATATATCGTTATTCTATAGACTCTAATTCTATTTCTAAAAACTAACCTTTCTCTCAACTGTACTTATATTTTATGTAGATATACTTCGTGTGATCTTATTCTCTTGAATACATGTTTAAATAAAAATGACATTAAGCTATTGAATTGTAATGAAGTAATAATTTCTGTTTATAGTTGTCGAAGTAGTATGAATAATATAACCAGATAGAGAATAGGTTAACATTTATTGATGGAATATGTATTTAATATTTTTATATTCTGTAAAAAAAAATGCCGTTTTCGTTGATGACTAATTTATGAACTCACAGTGTATTTGTGCAATGATAACTTTCAATATAGTATACCTTATATCTTTGATAAAAGGAATCCTATACAAGCAAACCACCTGTTACATTACGTCTTCAGAATAGAATAAGTTAAGGAATATGAGTTTTTTATTAATTAAATGTAATGTTCTTAAAATATTTATTATATTAGGATTTATTTGTTCAGGAAACATATTTTTATTTGTAAATAACCATTTTGTAATTTTTTTCTAGAGTGATGCATGGAAGAAGATAACAAATCTGGAAATCATGGCGAACAGAAGGGACAAACCTACTGGTTTTGTGAGTAAAATTATTAAACTTTAATGCCAGAATGTTAATTAATGTTTTAATAAAGGAATATTGTAGAAGAAATAAAGATTTTATAAAAATACAATGCAGTAAACTCTGTAATAATAGTGTCATAAATCAGTTTTATAAAAGAAAACTATTATTATAAAAATTATTAAAATAATTTAGGTATATATATATATATACACAAAACAGTAGAAAGATAATACACTATTCTATTTAAAATATCAAAGTCTCTGAAGTTTATTGTGATTAAAATTTAAAAAAATAACTATTCTAAAATTTAACTACACCTTGCTTTAAAGTGTGTGATACAATTAAATTATTTTGAAATTGCACACACAAAAATACAATATAATAGTGTCTTTAAATAATTTTAGACAGGTCTGTATTATCTCTAATTTTAAATACAATATATCAATCAATTCTAACATCTTTAGTCAGTATATTTTAAGATATGCTTTTTTGCAATTCTTATCAGCAAATTCCGTAACGTCATCAACGCTTTACCATTTACGACAGTCATATTGTCATTAACGCCGAAGTAAGATCGAATGCTACTAATTTTCGATTTTTTCCTATTGTCACACGTATTATCGATTCTGTCAGTTAATGAACATTATTTGTGCGGTGATTTCTTGATACAGCGATAACGTGCGAATACATAAAATAATAAGTACGCGAATTGATGATATTATAAATTGAACACGAAAGAGAAAGAAAAAATTGAACTTAGAAAGAGTGAAAAATGTCTGGATCCCAAAGAATCCAAAGAAGAAAAACTTGGTATCATAAAGCCGAGGCTGGCATCGAAAAGGTGAAATAATTTTTTAAAAACTCTCGATTTTTGAAAACCAATCTTGATAAAATTATTAAATTTTCAAGATCAATTGATTTTAAAGAAGATTCGCGTAATATTAAACTTTACATATTTGAATTTAAAAATAGAAGATGAGTAATATATAGTTTCGTTATATCGCAATAATAAACTGTAGTAATCTTGAAATAGATATATTTTTAATATTTATTAATAAGTGAAATTTGTTCTTGGGAAACGTAATGTATGTATGTATATGTGAAAATGATGTGCACGCGAAGCACGGAACATGATAAAACGTGCAATGTAGGATTTCTATAGTGATATATACGCTATATGTGGGCATACGCAGAGTTCCTGTTATGTTATCGTATCTGTCGCTCTTTGTATCATTGCAGTGGAAGCATTTAACATACTATCGTTTACATAAAAAGAGTCGCTCTACTTTCCGATTACCACACTTCTTTCTACATTCATCTTTTGCTCTTTTAATTTTTGCTTTAAACGCTAATTTGTACACACATCGCAAAAATTTCCTTCACGATGATAGTCATTGTTCGATTTACAATTCGATTATCTTTGTGATATTAAACCTGTTATCGCAATATCTTGTTCAGTGATTCTCAAACGATGTTTCATAAAAAAATATTCAATAGAAATTTTATATTATTTAGAAAAATAATAAAAATAAAAGTTCTCTCTTTCTTTCTCTTTTGTTTCTTAAATTGCATAAGATTATTTAGAAATAATGTACATAATTAATACTGGCAAGTTTCATTTGTCAGATAAAAGCAGAAAAAAGTGAGAACCATTGCTTTGTGGTTTAATGCAACCTCCAGTAAAGAACGATATGCGTATGTACTTGATGACATACGCACGAATACACTAGTACATACATACAGTATCGACCTTAAACGCAGCAGAAATTCAAGCTGCATTATAACTCGCGCTTTATATCAAATGTCTACCTAATATAAATTGTCAATGTTATGTCATACAGTTACGCTTATTAATTTTATCGTTGACGGTCTTTAAATAATTTTTAATAATATGTAGTTTTTACGCGATGTCGATGGTATGTTGAAAGTCTCTGACAGCAAAAACCACATAACTACACCTTTCAGTACAACATTATCAGTAGCATTTAGTGTTCAGTGAATAGTGACAACAGTTGATGCAATAATCAGATATGTATAAGTAAAATGCGTAAAGAAAATTACATTTTATCAATTTCATCGCAACAACCAATACAATCCTAGACACAAATTCTTTACATAGTTATGCTTTATCTTTATGTAAATGGAATCTGTCGTACGCGTATATTGTTTTGTAATTTTTTTTGATATTATATTTCGTAATGATACATAAAATATCCTATAGTCATTAGCGAAATATTCCGTAGTGAACTATAGTGTTATTTTTTTCTCCACTATCTTTGTAATTATAATTCGTATATTATTAGAGTCTTTGAGGATTAATATATCATAGATATGTTAAAACCAAACCGGGATTATCTAATCCTTTATATATACGATTGTGACATCATACATTGCAGAAGTAGGTAAATTTCAAAATCTGACAGATGCATGCAGCGTTAAACATGCGTACAGACGCAAAAGTGCTAAGCGACAAGCGGCCTGACGTTTTCGCGGCGAAGACAAAGGCGCAGCTTTCAGACATGAAGATCATCTTCTGGGCAAGAGATGCGTAGGTCGAAAAAAAAAATCGTCTCACACATTCGACCTCCGTATGTATGTATGCCTATCGGAATTTCGCGTGACACCGTTTCGATCTCTCTTGCTCTCGTGCAAGAGAAGGCCGCTCGGGCTGTTGGCGTCATCGCTCGGCTGTTCGCACAAGTGAGATCATCCGTGTAGCCGCGCGTAATTTTTTTTCCGGTTAATCAGGAATAATTAAAACCACCGGTTAATTCCCGAGGAGCGCGTGAAAAGCGTTGTACATTGCTCATGTGCGGTACTCGTGAAGAAGTACATACTCACGGAATTGAGGTGAATAAAAATTGATGCGAGGGAAAATAATTAAGCTGTATTCTACCGTACAAATAATATCATGTGATAGTTCACTACATTATACTTTATAATCTTTATTTCTTTTACAATATATCTGTTGAAGAGCTTTCGATCTAACAAATATGATAAACTTATATCTTATTTGCCAGTTTTTAAACTTTGAAAGATAGTTTCTCAATTATAAGATTTATATGTGTATAATACTTTAAATTAGTTTTTTTTTTATATCGATTGCGATATTTATGATTTTATTCTCAATTAAAATAATGTTTTGTCTCTTTTTATTTATAGTTCTAATCCTAAATAGAATATAGCGTTAGTTAAACTACGATTCAAGTTAAAGAATTTTTTTCTGCAAATATTTAAATCAGACGTGCTTATTTCTTTCTTTTATTTTAATTATTGTGTTTATTTATAATAATAATCAAATCAAAAAATTCTTTATGTATATACGTTAATCTCATTTAGAGCTCCGGT